AACCCATATAGGGTTTTGGGTTTAGGGCCAATGGCCTTTCCGGGCGAGCCAAGCCTGCATGGTACCAAGGATAGCTGCGCTGCATAGCTTTCACTGCTGCATTGCTAGGGTAGGGTTTAGGGTTTAAGGTTTAGGGTTTAGGGTTTAGGGTTTAGGGTTTAGGGTTTAGGGTTTAGGGTTTAGGGTTTAGGGTTTAGGGTTAGGGTCTAAGGCTTAGGGCTTAGGGTTTAGGTTTGCCAGATCACAGCAAGCCCTCAAGATATGCGCTAAACCCGACACCCTAAATGCCCTAAGACCTCTAGCTTAAACCCTCAACCCTAAGCCTGCAGCCTGAAACCCTCAGCCATGAACCCTCAGCCATAAACCTTCAACCCTGAACCCTCAACCCTAAACCCCAAACCCTCAACCCTAAACCCCCAACCCTGAACCCTAAACCCTCAACCCTAAACCAGGAAATCCCAAGCCCTCAACCATAAAACCTCAACCCTAAGCCCTCAACCCCAAGCCCTCAACCATAAACCCTCAACCCGAAACCCTCAGCCCTAAGCCCTCAACCATAAACCCTATAGATCCCTTTAATTTAAAGGAACCCTTATAAACCCCAAGCCCTCAACCATAAACCCTGAAAGCCCTATAGATCCCTTTAAAGAAACCCTTATAGTACTCTTTAAAGGAACCCCTAAACCCTAAACCCTAAACCCTAAACCCTAAACCCTAAAAAGGAACACCTAAACCCGAAGCTCAGGAATGCACCGAGCTCACTTCGTAGATCACCGGAGGTGCTTCCGGTCGCTTCGCCTCCAGGGAGTTCTGGCTTTAAGGGAGCCCAATACCCCTTAATTAGTACCCCTTAATTTAGGGTTTAGGGTTTAGGGTTTAGGGTTTAGGGTTTAGGGTTTAGGGTTTAGCGTCAGGGTTGAGGGTGTGGGGCTTAGGGTTTAAGAGTGTAGGGTAAGGAATATACCTTGAATTATAGGGTCCTTAATGTGATGATTTAAGGTACACTCCTTAATAAACGGGTGTTGGATTCTGGCTTTGAAGGCATCTTTCAGCGCTTTAGGGTTTAGGGATGTTTAGAGTTTAGGGCTCTAAGGATGTTTAGGGTTGAGGGTTTAGGGGATGTTTAGGGTTTAGGGTTTAGGGGATGTTTAGGGTTTCGGGATGTTTAGGGTTTAGGGTTTCGGGATGTTTAGTGCTTAGGGTTTAGGGATGTTTAGGGGTTTAGGGTTCAGGGTTTAGGATTTAGCGTTTATAAGGTTCAGGGCTTCGGGTTTAGGTTTAGGGTTTAGGGTTTGGGGCTTAGGATGTTCCGATAGGCTTCCCGGGTTCAGGGCGTAGGGCTTCGGGCCCCATAAGGTCAGTATAGGGGTTTAGGGCTTTGTAGAGCGTTTCGGCTCTATTTGTAAACCTATGCCGCAGCCTTACTTGCTGCAGATCCCCCACTTCTGCCCTTATTGAAAGTAAGAATCTGGCAAAAAGTAGAATAGGCTCCAGAACATGAGGGTGCTCCGGGTGGTTTACCTTAACCCAGATCCTACTCCGTTTTGCGTTCCTCATTATGATTTCAGTATATATATATATATATATCAGCCGAAAGCAAACAGTTATTTGGGGTTAGGGTGGGATGTAAGTTTGGGCATTAGGCTTACCGTATGTCCGACGGCCCCGACCTCGCCTGTGCTGGAGCCTTTGTCGCACTTGTTGCGGGCACCTGCCGGACGGAACAAAGTAAAAACAAACACAGCTAACCTCTAAACCCTAAACCCCTGAATCCTAAACCCCTAAACCCTAAACCCTGAACCCTAACTTTGCCATCTTCTCAGAGGTGTACGATGCTTTGCTGAACTTAGGGTGTAATAGATATATATATATATATAT